GTTAACACTCTCTCCCTGTCCTGTATCATAGATTTTACTGACATACATTGATCTCTCACTAAAAATACTTTTCAGTTTGTTGGAGTCAAAACAAGAGGAGCACTCAAAAACACCTTTGTTCAGGCCAATCGTCCAGTGTTCTGTGAGATGAAAATCTACAATTCTCTACACGTCTGGAAGATATTTACAGTTATGTCTAAAGATGGTCGTGCTGGGGCTGTAGTCCTTGAAGTGGGCGGCCCAGGTTCGAATCCACCCTGTGGCTCCTTTCCCGCATGTCATTCCCTACTCTCTCTCTCCCTGATTTCCAGCTCTTACCACTGTCCTGTCTCTCCATTAAAGGCACAAAAAGCCCAAAAATAAATCTGAAAAAAAAGAAGATGGTTGTGCTGAGCTGAGGCCTCACCTACGCTGTGAATTTATTTTTTAACACTATTTAAAAAAAAAAACACATTTGAATTGTTTTTAGTCTGATCTGCCGTATCTTTGACATTATAATTATTAAATACTAACACAACAGAAACCATTGAAGGCATGTTTGTGGTTAACATAAAATTATTCTATCGCTCTTGTTGTACACGTCAACAAGTTTTATTAAAGTCAGCACATTACCGTTTTCCTCAGTAATCGTTTAAAAGAAACAGACACAATGTGAGCTCATTAACACAGGTGAACTACTTTGGACACATTTTGATATAGTCTTCTACATTAAAATTAAAATAAAAAAGACTCACACTATGATTATTGTCTTTCAGGGTGTGATACAAAGTTTAGCAAAAACAAAAAAAAGTTCAAAGATAATAGTCAATATTAAGGGATGGTTCAAGGAGAAACATATTTACTTGAACTCATAGAATGAAACCATACATGGACAACATGATAAGAGCTGGAACGCTTTGTTCCTCCAAACAAAAAAAAAACACTAGAGATGAGAGATCTTCAGACAGCAGCCATACTGGCCTGATCCCCCTCTGGATGACAAATACGGATGGACAGCTCAAGACACTTCAAAGGCAGACAACGACCAGTCTGATAATTTTATGTCTGAGTCTCACAAACAGGCCATCACGGCTAAAGGGGCAGACTGTAGGAGACGACTGCCTGAAACCAACACAAACAAACACACGCTCCAAAACTCCCCCTCCATCGCACTCACCCACCCACACAACAAACCAGACAACACACACACACACACACACACACACACACACACACACACACACACACACACACACGTCGCTCTTTCAGAGACAAACACAAGAGAGCTCACACACGCATTTCACCTTTACTGTGTCTCTCATTACCAGATGAAACCAACCGTACATTGATTCACAAAATGGAAGGGAAGAACGCATTAGTGTATAATCACTGACTCCTGCATCGATTGGGGGGGTGAATTAAAGGGCAAAGCAATATCATCAGTTGGTATAGGCCTTTGCTACACACAAATTACAGCTTCAAGGGGAAACAAGACTACCTTAACCTTACTGTCTAGCAGTGCATATAGCCAGGCCTATGATGAATGATAATAACAATAATAATACAGTGAAAGACATTTATGTCCCTAGAAAATCCACTCGCTTTGAATGTACACCCAGAAAAAAAAAAAACTTCTATAACACATCTGCAGATGAACATATTAATTAAGCATCAAAGTAGAAGTGTGAACACCTGGGAATGTAAAAGAGACCTTCAGGTCATCAGTCTATTCGCCATTCTCTAGACGGAGACAAGCGAACCACAAAGAGCCTGAGAACAGACAGACAGCATCATTATCTGTGGCTGAAAAGTGCCACTGGATTCAGTTTTGTGAATACATTTGAAATGCTGTAGCAACATTTTAAAGAGGGTTGATAAAAAGTGGCCAAGAAGCTTCAGGCTAAAATATAACAGGAGAGAGTGGATAATTAGCATCTTCACAGACATAAAGAATAAAGATTTAGTACAACGCTGAAGTTTTTCTAAAGAAAAAGGATCAAAATCAGGTTCAAGGTCTTGAAACTTTTCTGCAGGTGCTCCAGCTAGAAGAAATTAAGGAACAAGGACTCAGGTATTTAATGACTGCTTTAAGGAAAAGGAAAAAACAAATTAAACTTCTCATGTAGCCTGAAGCACAACTGTCTATTATCAGACTGCGGTTGTATATTGTGCAACAACATGGAGTCACATACACTAAGTTCACCACAGGCTGTGTTGCCTGGAGAGTTTGCTCTCAAGACTTTGGTGTGTGATACTAACTTAAATATAAGCACATTTACTCACCAGGGTTTAGCTATAGAATATAACAATCTAATATGATACTCTATTTCCGTTTTCCTAACCTAGGGGTCACGACCTCATGTAGCTCCTCATGTAGGTCGCATGAAATTCAAATTGGGTCGCCTGAAACTTTTATTTATTGATCATTAAAAAATATATTGTATATTAAAATAAGTGAACACAGGCTACTGTGCATCATTAGCTAATGTCAAAACAAGAAACTTGAAGAGTCTCAGTCTGTCTGCCGTTCATTGTGCAGAGATGTCATCCCAGCCTTTCCTCCTCTGTCCACACTATAAAGGCCTATAGGTGAAAAAGCCTCAATGTGCTCTAAAACAAATTTTTACTTGCAACACAGCAGAAAAAACTATTACATGATTGAAAACAAATTAATGTTCCCAAAAGCTATACGTGTTTTGGATATCTGGGTTGCCAGAGTGTGTATTTGAACTTCGTCCTGTCATACTGTCATAATTGGGGACCTCATGCTGCAATGATAAGGGCAACACAGCTCTCTTAAATATAAAATAATTTGTGTTTTTTATCCTGTTTTTTTAAGCAGCTCCGTCCAATCATAATCCCTTTCCTACCAAAACTGATAGGTTTAAAATTTACAGAGCGATATACAACATAAAGGAGGTTATCCTTGAAACAAATGGGTCATTTCAAACAGTTTTCAATTTGACAAAATGAAAAACTCACCTATGAGAAGTACTGTTCCAACTGCCAACCCACCTCCTGTTTGAGAAATCAAAGATACATATCTGTGAGTTTACTTAAAATATCAGTAAAATATAATAAATAAAGTATTTCTCTGAATCAATGTGAGCCAACTTTGGCAGACTCCTATCTTAAATACTTTCTCTTTTAGGCTCCACAGCTTCATCTGTGTAAGAAAGTTTAAACAGTAGGCAACCACTGACAGTAATGACGTCTTCCTTATATTCAAGTTTCCATTAGGTCATTATGATATTGAACATGAGAGAAGAAACTTTACACTAAAAACAGCGTCGGACAGTCTATGGCTGGGTGTTTTCAGTCTTGATAGCTACAGAACAGCAACATGACATCTAAGGTGCTGCTACTAGGGCTGCACAATCATTTGCAATGTTGTTGTTATTGCGATAGGAGCATTCACAAATCCACATACCAAAAGACTGAATTTACATTACATTAAGTAAGCAATATTTCTTTACTTCATTACAGTGAAATGAAGCTCAGTCTAGTATCAGCTACTCTGGGAGTCAATTTAGACAATTCAGTGGTCAAAAATTTACTTTTTGGATTTATTTTGGATTCAGGAGAAATATGATGGCAATTGGCTCAGTCTGTAGGGACCTGGGTAGGGAACCAGAGGGTCGCCGGTTCAAGTCCCGGTGTGGACCAAAAATAAGGATGTTGTTCTGGTAGCTGGAGAGGTGCCAGGGTACTTCACAAGTACTGCCGAGGTGCCTGCATGCATAGCAGTGTGTAGCAGCCCCACTCTGACATCTCTCCACTAACGCATGTCCACAGGTCCTGTTTGTACATGTGTGTGAGAAGCATGTCTCTAAAATATCAGAGTGTAAACCAGAATTTCCCTCAGGGATTAATGAAGTATTTCAAAATATATATATATATATATATATATATATATGTATATTCCTTTTACTTTAGCCACATTATCACACTGCATATTGTTATAGAAATGTTGTAAAATGTCATCGCTTATCACATTTTTCTTCTCAGATCATGCACGCCTATGGTACACCAGCAAATCTTGTTTACAATCCCCTTACAAAGAAATAGAGCTGGTTGTATACAATGCTTCACAGTTTGAATTCTCCTGAAACCATTGGCTCTTGTCCAGTGCAGGTACACACACAGACAAAATATCATTAATCTTTTTAAGTAGAAAATAGGTCTCAAAATACTCACTGAGCATTGCCATCTTTGGGTTTAACATATAAATTAATTATTTAAGTTAAGCAAGTTTGTCATATAATGATTTACACCTGTTGACTACAGTTTGAATCATCTTTCTAAAGTGACATAACTTGAAGAAGTTACCATTACTCTATCAGTTTTGGGGCTTTTAAATGTCACATGGCATAATAAATCTACTCAGACATTTAATTTATAAATGAAGATACATTCCTGTTATACTGAATGCATGCTTGTGTGCTTAGTTTGTACTTTAATTATGAAAAAGACCAAAGTTCAGGTGACACATATATGTATAAAACTTAACATATATTCCCATTTTTTTTGATACCAATGTAAAGTTATTAAACGAAAAGGTTCAGACAAAACATGCCTGAAATCTGTTTTCTACAGTTCCCAACATGCTACATTTACCCTCCCTGTAAAACTAGTGTAGTTACTAGAACCCCGCAGTGTGTGTTATTTCAAAGAATTACTCTTTGACAAATTAAACTCAGTATGGATTTGTTTCTAACTTGTCAGGCTGACTGTGCATCGAGAAACCGAGTTAGCTTGCACAGCTGGTAGCTAATTGTAGCTAGCAGCTGTAAACAGTAAGACTGACCGAGCAGATAGTCCAGGGACGTGACACCAGTCGAGACTAACAGTTGTCCATTTTGAACCGACGGTCTGGTACCAGCTATAGAGATTAATTTGCTCCTTGTTTTCTTCTGGAAACTCGTCACTGAGGGTTTCCCCACACCGCTCATGGGAGCCGCCATACTGTTTGGAATGCAGTGACGCCGCTACATGAGTTGTCCAATCAAATCAGACTTCCGTGGCGCTCGACCAATGAGAGTAGCGTTTGTTACGGAGTAGAGTGTAGCCTGTGTGGGACTGTCAAAAAGGAATCCCTGAATCTCTGTTAGTTGGTAAGTAAAGCTCTGTTGATTAATAAAGGTCGCTTGTTATATCTTTACCATGTTGACACAATAGTTTGTGGGCTAACTTCTGTATATAGGCTTAAACTGTCACCTGAAGCCTGGCATCGTGCCGCTATGACCTTGTTGGTCCACAACATCAACAGAGACAGGATATCATTTAACATATATACACATATACTCAGCTCTTTAAAACCTGTTCGTGTTTGTTATCTATATTTGTATGAATACCACATAACGGGTAAAATAGCTGTGCGTACAGTTTTATATGATTTAAATGTAGGACGTGAGAAGAAAAGGATATATCACGCCATGATACCATCCTTACTAATGTTATCAGATGAACACCTGAATGCATCATTTTCAGTCGAGGAAAAGGTCGATTTATACTAAATTGCTTCAATGTAGGTTTCTGAAAGTGTAACTCAATGTTTGAAGAAAAATAATCTGTTTGATAATCTGAGCGTTTACATAGGCTACAGTCTATGGTTTCAATTCAATTCAATTCAATTCAATTCAATTCAAAGAACTTTATTTGTCCCCAGGGGGCAATTCAAAGATACACAGAGGAGTAAATAAACAAGTGGAGGTAGACGAAACATTTTAACCTAAATATAAAGTGTCAATTTAAATACAACTTAAAGCTTAAACTTAACTTAAAAATACAAAATATAAAAAGAGTAGATATAAGTGGACAGTGATCGGACTAACAGATGTAAACAGATGTAAACAGAACTATGTGCAGTAAACGAGAAATAAATATAATACAGAGTTATGTGCATGTAGGCAAATACTAAATGATAAGTTAATAAAGTGCATGGTGAATAATGGAACAAGACATTTAGGTGACTTAAATTAAATGTATGTGATAAAAGGCCATAACGTTCACTAAGTGGACATCTTTAGAAGCAGTAAGCCTTTTTTTATTCATAGCACCTCAACATTTATAAAAAATAAACATTCAATTTTAAATAGAAGATACATACATTACTTCAAAGTCACAATAATACTACAACAACTGAATAGCTACATTTTACAATACTTTATATTTATATGACTTGTAACTTTACAGTATAGGCTATACATATAGCCTGATAAAGTAAATAGTGAATTAATTCAAGTAAATCATATTACTTTTAAAATCCCAATCTTTGATTATTTTATTTTAACAGTGTATCAATGGTCACATTTGTTGTTGGCTGCAGTTCATCAATGCATTAAATATTTAGCTGTAAGACATTAAATAACAGTTGCTTCTCCTCATTAGTTCCTCTTCTATTGTATTCAATCTGGTCAAATATATTACCTTTCAAAGCATGGACTTTGTCAAACAGAATAAGTAAATCTGACAGTCTGGTAAACAGCACCCTTTGGTCATGGTGAGTCATATGTAATGTGATATAATTACTAGGTCATTGATTGTAGATGTACAAGAGCATCATAACAGCTTTGCATGTTCATGTGCAGCAGCACTGTGTACATTTCTTTATGTGTATTTGTGTGAGTCACTTCAATGGTTACATTCAGGTAAAAGGGCTCATCAGGTGAAAAGGTGAGATGAGGATCACTGCAAGCAGACATTAAGAAGCCTCTGTGAGTTTGCAGAGCTCTCTACAGCATCTCCTGAGTGTCACTCAAAGTTTTATAACAGGCTTTACATTGATAATGCCAAAACAAACTATTTTGGATTACATCTGCTTTACAATACCTTTCTGAGGCTATACTGATGCTGACATTTATGTTGACGATATTATTATTATTTGTTTAAATATCAGGAAAAAATGGCATTCAAATATCCACTTTTTGCATCATGAAATTAAGAATTGCACCCAGGGATGGAAACAAGCAGAATGAACACAATCAATACACAATTTTGTAAGTTTATCTACCACCAAAGCAATGTTTTTTTTTAACACTTAATGACTTAATATTATTTTATAAAGAAGTTGTTTCAGTAAGATAAGTCACTGAATAGACTAACATAATAAATGTTGTGTTTTCCACTGGCAGGTACCCCTTATTGAGTGTACTTACACTTCTAAATTATTGCACCTAGATTGAAGAAGTGTCAGACAAAAATATTGAGTGTTTGGAAGAACTGTTAAGTGACCTGTGAGAGTGACATGAGGAAAACCCCCAACATCAGACCCTGAATTCTGCATATGAATATATACTGAAAGTAACAGTCCATGATCATATATATATATATATATATATATATATATATATATATATGTATGTGTAATTCTTTGTGCTGTTCATAACTAACAGAAGTTAAAACAGGTTCAGCCTGACATGTTCAGTGTAATGTGTGTAATGCAACACTCTGTCAGTAGACCTTCTTCACTGGAGACATTTCTAAATGACAGTGAAATAGAGGATGGATAAAGTCTATTAAGCTACTTTAATAATATGGTAATGATATTGATTTACTATCACACTATAGAATAGAATCAAGGCATTAATAATGTGTTTTAGTAACACCTGCCTTGTCTGTCTATGTGGTATGAAAACGTCTGCAGTGAGAAAAATGGTAATCTGCTCACAGGGGATAGGCCGCTTTCTTTTGGACTGCATAATGTCCACTCTTAATAGCAGCTGACTGATGAGTGATCGGTGTAATCCGTAAGACAGCTGTAAAAAGCTTTGTGAGACAGAGGGAGGCCAGAGGCAGCACAAGATCACAGGATACTGTAAGGCTCCAGAGGAAGCAACAGCCCCAACTGCTCACTTTACAAATGCTCTCAGCAGAGGCAGTCCTGCTGTTTTGACAGCACTGTTGAGACTTATATGTGCTGACAGGAGACCAAAGGAATATATCATGACTGACAACACTGGGCATTGTGGAAAGCCTATACCAGACAAATAAGATGCGCTGACTGACCTGCATCTTTGCTTCAGCAGTGCATGTGCAAGATGAAGGAAGCACAATGCTGTGGAAACTTTCTCCACATGCTCCGCTCAGTGCCCGTCACCTTGTTTCCATTCTTTTATAAATCCTGACTTAACCCCTGGGCTCCGGAGCACAATTCAGTTTGTAGAAGTGTAAACATAGCAGCCTGATTCTGCAAAAAAATAACACCGTTTGCCACCTTTTTTTATGTGCCATATATGCATGTGTATGTGTGTGTGTTTTTGTAGTGTTTTTGTCACTTTTACCAGCCTCTCTATCTGATTGAGCTATATAATGGCAGCAGTCATAACATGTCAGACCTTTCCTGGTCAGACTGTTTTGGTTTCTGTATTCGAATTCTGCAGTTGTTGTAAAGCTGCGGGAAGCAGTTGACTTTTTGCGTCTGGGGATTGCGAGATTATCAGCAACATGCACTGTATTTGTTTTGTCAGCGTTGAAGGTATAGAGTGATAAGTCTAAGTCTAAGGGCACGAGGACAAGCATAAGATGGGTTTGTAAAACGTTTGTTAAGGGACTTTTCCATTCATTCAGCGGAGCGTACTTGGAATAGCTTTTTTATGATTTCCTGAGATTTGTTGCAGGAGTTGTGAGTTACCGAGAGCCATATTAAGCTTGACCTTCAGGGTAAGAAAAAATAGACACTGACAAGTTTTGCTTAGGTCGAGGTGTCTGTCATTGGCCAGTGTTAAAGTGTAACAGGCTTTGTCATGAGCGGGTCACTGCAGAACACAAACTCCTTTGTGAATCTGATACAACACCAGATAAGATCTCTCTATTCTCTCAGCACCAGCCCCGCACCAGGCATTCGCTTGTGGTCAATACAATAAGGCTTAGCGGCTGATTTTTCCATTCTATATAATTGGCTGGGGACTCTGTCAGCCCACACTTCCTTTCAATTCATAGCAGTTGTATTCATATCACTTGGCTATTATTTGCTCTGGCTGACCCATTGATTGCAGGTTTAAACCCTCAGCTCCTCAAATAGTATTCTCGCTCAGCTGTTTCACGGCTGTGTTGCCGTTAGCAACAATGAAAAGAGCAATATGGAGATCAGTCGCCTCAATTAAGCCTGTGATAGAAGGCAGACCTGGAAAAGATGGGGGCGAGACATATACTCTTGTGAGCGGGACTTCTACATCTGTCACTCTCCATCCGGCCAGGTGTCTGTGTCTAAATCAGCAGGATTATCTCAGATTGGACTGATAGTTGAAGCAGACCCCCCTGGTAGCCGAACCTCCTCCTTTTTTATGGCTCACATTAAGATCAAATCAAGCTCTGCGCAACAGGACTAACGCCCCACCTTCCTCTGCCTTCTGCTGCCCAGAGGAAGACATCAGAGGTGGGATTGGTCCCCGCTCCTCCAGACTCCCTTCCATCTGGGATCCTCAGGGAGAAGACGAATATCTGACAAGGGGCTTGTAAGCCTCTTAGCCCCCCTGTTGCTCAGCTCTCTCTCAGCCCATGTTTGCCTAATTTAGTTGTGTAAGGAGTCCACTGCAAGGCCCTTATGCGCCGTTTGGATAGAGATTCTCTTTGTACTTCTAATAGACTGGACATGTATATCAATTAACACGACTCAGCCAATGGCGGGCTCAAATCTCTTGAGACGCTCAGCGGTAATTCCTTTTTTTGAACACTTCCTTATGGCTTCAATAATATGTGTTTAATTCAGTGTCAATGCTGATTGACGTTATCCACTGATCTACGGTGTGCATTCTTCTCTTTTCCTCTTGCCGTTTCTACATTAGCTCACTTTCCATCAACATAATTCTGTTTTTTGTGAACATCAGAGGAAGATGTTAATATAACAATTTGATGCTTATACAAGTAAAAAAAAAGAAACAGTTCAATATATAAGTGACTCTTAAATAAAGACATTGCATTCATACAAGTTTCCTTTGAATCAAAAAGAATCGTATGTGCGTGCTAAGAGTTTAAATTATTGGAATTTCCTCAGACTTAAAAGTGTTGCCAAGGTCATGTTATTGTTTTCATAAAGCATCGCATCTGATGATTTGAAAGAGCAACAATTACTTCCTCAATTTGAAGACAAACTGAGTCGTGGATGTGTCGGCCAAAACATCGCTCATGAAGCCACTTTTATTCGTTGGTGAAATACACCTCATCACTTTGATTGCACCTGTGTCTTAAACTGAACACACAAAAGTGCTTTTGACAGCTGGCAGAACACAGTGACAGGCTCCGCACTATACTGCTGCATTTTATTGTCATGTATTGGAGAGGAAAAAAAAACACAAAAAACAAGTTCTCTTTTTTTCCTCTTTCTCTTGAGATCGCTCTGCCTCAAGTGAATGACGCTCCCTTCAGTAAGAGGATCACAAAGTTAAACACACAATGCGGTGTTACCGACGGCTGCTATTCATTTGTGATCCCCCCCTCGTTTCCTCACTGTAGCGCTGAGCTGTGACCGCGGGAGGCCGGTGACCACAGATGGTTCTGCAGAGAGGGCTGCGCTGACTTTCTTTGTTTTCCCATGAACATGTTTGGCGTGTAATCCTGGATTAACAGAGAGACTTTGTGTTAATTTACAGCTTGTAATAAAGCATTCAATTAATGTTGATACACACATGTGCTGGGTATTAGGGGGGAAGAGATAGTGTGTGTGTGTGTGTCGCTTGACTCTTTGCTCAGGGGAATTAGAGGTAATAGAGATCCAATCAGAGGTCTCTGTGGATGTCCACCTCCTTCTGAATCCCAGAGGAGTCACTGCAGCTTATATATATACACTTTGTATGAAACACATAGGTAATGCTATTGTGTGTGCACATTCACACCACATGTGCACACACACTATCAATGGCAGAGGGTGCCTTAGAAAACCAGGCGGCTGCATATGGACTCTCTTGATATCAGTCACTGGCTGTGTGATCTTGTTATGCAAAGTCCCTTAATCCCTACCTATGATGAATGCGCACTGGAATGGAGGAAGGGGTGGGGGGGGGGGGGCTGAAACAGAGATATGAGGGCAGCTGTAAGGGAGGCTGTCCACTGTGCTCTGAGAATAAGTGCTAGCAAAAAATTTTGATCCCCCCCCCGTCACCCCAGCCTGGCTGAAAGAAGAGAGTGAATTACAGTACAGCAATGATAGACAGAGACGCTGGTGGAAGACAAATAGAGCCGAACATGTCACCTTAGTGCAGACCTGAGATTCACATTAACCTTTATACCCCTTGCTTCCCAACAGAGGAATTATAGGGCCAGAGGTGCTGTTGCAGCAGCTGTGGGAGGACTGAGTTTATAGTTCCTCAACAAGAGAAACGGAGCAGACTGTGACTGCAAAGGGGGGGCACCTCATTTGGGCCCTGTGCTGAGCTCACATACGTCCACCTTCACCTGCTCACAGAGGCAGAAGAACGCACGGGGTTGCCAGGGGTGATCAGAAAACAGAGGAAAGAGCGGAGTAGCGGCACATGAGGAGGTAAAAAGATGGAGTTGGACTTTTTTGGATCAGAGACGATGCCGAATGGGCCAAAGAGGCAAACTAAGGATGAAAGAAAACGTAGAGGGTTTAATAGTGGAGTATATGGTTGGCATGGAGGAGAGCGTATTGTGTGTGTGTGTGTGTTTGTATGTGTGTGTGTGAGAACAGTGGAGGGGGGTAATGGGATTAGGGGTAACACCTTTGGCAGAGCTGGGAGAGCCACCTGACACCCGGTCTGTTGGGGACCTGGGGAGATGAGGGGGAGCAGTGGTAGTGGTGGTGTTGGGGCAAAGGGAGAAATTGGGGGTCTAATCCGTGTCCATCTTTGGGAAGTCATTCCCAGAGCTCTGAGGATTTGGGGCTTTGGTTTCCGCTCTGCTTGCTTTGGTTAATAATACCCTGGGAGGGAGAGGAGACATGGAGAGAGAAAGAGGGGAAAAGACAGAAGGAACCAGGGGGGACGGAGGAAAAGATTTCTTTACCCTGCGGTAGACTGGCAGGACAGCGGCCTGAGATAAAAAAAAAAAAATGTTTCAACTGCAGACTAACCTCTAAATAAGCTGTATCTAAACCGGTTCCCATTCTAATATTTTCTTCTTGTATGTTTTTTTTAAATAAGCCATGAGATTTTTCTATTTAAATTGTTTTTAGTAACCTCTTGTAATGTCACTCCAACAGATTGTGCTAACTGCACGTCACTGATCTGACCAAGAGACAGTGTAAGACTCTCACACTGACAATTATTATTCTTTCTTTCACCATAAAAACAAATCAGATTTTTCTTTTTTACAACAGCTGGCTTCTTCTGCCCATTAAAAACAATCTCTTCTCGGTATCAGTTGTTTGGTTTGAGCTTGCTAGCATCAAATTGACGCGACACAACAAACACACTTAGGCACCTGATGTCACAGAGTGAATGCCGTGTTATTTGTGTATGGACAGATGTCTGTCATCAGGGCCGATATCAGCTGATACTGATGTTCAATACACTACATCGATGCATTGCTGACACTTGCTAGCTTTCACTAACATAGCACTCTCCAGCAGCAACACCGTGTTGATATCTGATATCGTCCCGTGTTGATGAAATCAGTTCTCTTATGTTTCTCTAACACTGTAGTCGCCAATTGCAGCCATATTACATCCATTTAATGTGATGTGTTATCGTCTTTAGAAGAGAAGAAGAATTGGTTTCTGGTTAACCAAGTATGTTTTGTGGAGGGGCTAATAATTAGCAGAATCAGAAGCATTTCTAACAATGGTTAAGGTAACAGAACAACTCAAGCTGTATCTTTTCTTCTCTTTATCTCAGTTTTTATCTCTTACACGTGTATGTGTGTGTAGGTGAGCACGCGCACACACAGTGCATAACACTTGGTAAAGATTGACTCACTTTCTTCTGTCCATCCAACAGGTTGCAGCTTGAGTAAAAGTCAATAACCTGAGTGTGGCTGGGATGTTTGCTAAGAGGACACGCAGATAGTCCTCATGTGTGTTTGTGTGACGGAGTGTTTGCAGGGCAGGTGGGTGGGTGGGGGGGTAACTGAGGGTGTCTTTGTGTTTCTATGGTGCTGACAGAAGTTGATAACCGCTCTAATGATTGTGGTGGTGGTGGTGGAGGCAGAGCAGTGTCAGGGACACGCTGCAGAAAGTGCAGAGCTGCTCGGCTGGACGTGTCACAGTTTCTGTGTTTGTCCATCACCTGAGCGCGAGGTGTTGATTGGTCCATCCTACACGGGGTCAAAGAGCGGGGCAGTTTTCAGCTGTGAACTGGCCGCTCAGCCCCTGAGAATGAAACACCAGGAAAAGTGCCATCTTAGCAGTAGGCCAACTGTGACAATCCTGTCGACACCTCTAAAAATTAAACCCCCGTACAGCTTTTGTTTTTAGAGATCCTCTGAGGGGACTTAAGCCTACCATAAATGGGTCACACACTTAGTCATGCACCAGCACTGTGCTGTATGTATAGAGCATTGGATAAATCATAGACCATGTTTCTGTATTTTTGTTGTAGGTGGAGATGTTCCGCCGTGTGTTGGGGACGACGCTGGGCTTTGTGGGCTACACGGTCCAGTATGGCTGCATTGCTCACTGTGCCTTCGAATACATCGGAGAAGTTGTTGTGGTCTGTATTCTTATTATTATAACACAGTGAATGACTGATCTTTCTTTTTTATAAAATGAAAAACTACATTTTGTTGTTGTTCTGTTCAGTGTTCAGGTCCATCCATGGAGCCGACCATTGTCAACCATGATATTGTCTTCTCTGAGCGGATGAGTCGTCATCTCTGCAAAATAGAAAAGTAGGTTCCAGTTGCCAGATTCATATGACGGAACACAAAATTCTGACATGTATTGAAACGTGTTTTTATTCACTGGAAGACTGATTGAGACATTTTTCCTTTGGATACTCTTTTAAAAAAGTAAAATTTAAAAATGGCAACAATTTCCTACAAAGATACGTCATAACTGAATGTGATGTTTTTCATTTTACCATTTGAATTATTGTCACTGTGTTTATGTTCTTGTACAGGGGGGATATCATAATTGCAAAGAGTCCATTTGACCCAAATATGAACATTTGTAAAAGAGTGATTGGGTTGGAAGGTGACAAGGTCTGCACGAGTGCCCCTTCAGATCTATTCAAGCCCACACATATGTGAGTATGTTTTCTTTTTTCATGCAAGTTGTTCAGAGTGCTCAAAGTTCTCTCTTTTATGCATCCTGTGATTTTCTGCGGATCCCAAAAAATCCAGGTGCCAGTTTTCCTGTTTTGTTCGCAATAAACACAAATGTCTGGAAGAGAAAGGGGTTAAAAATATGCAGGGAGATAGCGAAATGAGAAATGCATTTCCTACAAAACACTTGATAGTTGAGTGATTCTGTGCATAATGCAAAACTGTCTCTGGGTTTCTTTTTTGTTTTACTTTGTGTTTGTGCCGCTTGTCCATACACTATTATAGTTGTTTACATTTTAGACCGCACACATCCATTTTGTGTCATTGGTCAAAATATCAGCTTTTGACAACACCTATATTTCCTCAGAACAGTGATAAAACCAGAGAGTGAGCAGGGGTTCTGCTGCTGAAACCACTGTCATTGCTTTTCTATTACTACTCTCCCCAACGCCCACAGCTCAGGCCTGCAATCTCTCTGAAGCCTGTTAGAGTTAGTGCCAGCCGAGTGGACACACTGATGGGTGGGCGGAGGTGTGTCTGTGTGTGTGTGTCTGTCTGTGTGTATGTGTGTGTGTGTGTGTGTGTGTGTGTGTGTGTGTGTGTGTCTGCAAACCAAAGGTTGCATTTATGTTGCATGTTTTTGAATTTTTTGTGTTTTTTATAGACTGTGGGCAGACTGTTGAATGAGTTCAGCGAAACATAGCATAAGGCCGAGCCTCTAAGTGTCATTCAACAAATCAAATGGGGAAATAAAAAGGTTTCCTCTTCGGCTAGCTTCACCTCCACATACACAGGACTGACTTTGTGATGGACGACATCATTGCCTTGGGATACTTGATCCCAGTAAGTTTTTTGACTTCCTTTTTTTGGATGCTTGTATGTTTCTCTAACAACAGATCATACCAGAATAAACGGACCCCCCTTTTTGACTGCATGCACTGTAGCAACTTCACTAAAGTCCACTATGAGATTCAAACAATTTGAGAATGGGGCTCTGTGGCCTAGTGGTCATTTCTAGAGCCCCATGTACAGAAGCTGTAGTCCTCGAAGCGCGCAGCCTGTGTTCATGTCCGACCTGTGGCTCCTTTGCTGCACGTCATTCCTCACTCTCTGTCTCCCTGATGTCTGACTATATCCATAGTCCTGACTAAATAAAGGCATAAAAGCCGCACCCACCCCACACACACACAAACACAAAAAAAAATGGAATTCACAGATGTAAGATATCACATCAGTCATTGTTTGACACAGTTAAATACAAGGACCTTTTGCATTTCAATGCATGAAGTGAAGAGAACAAGTAACTGTACCATGTAATCTGTATTTTTGGCTGTTTTTCTTCTTGTTTTCATTCAAAAATGTGTATTATGGTTTCTCAAAGTGTATAGATTTCTTATCTTAGCTAGTCCAGTTCTCAAAAGATATTTATCAACAATGATAAAAAATAAAGAAACACTTTAAATTCACACTTTAAATAACTGGACAACGAGCATATTTAGCATTTTTGCTTTATTTAAAAAGCATAAAACTGTTGGTCATAGCAGGGGGGGGGGCTTTGTGTACATTTTATAGAGATAGAAAAGTGGATAGAGCCGGAAATCAGGGAGAGAGAGAGAATGAAATACAGGAAAGGGCCACAGGTCTGATTCAGACGCTGCCACAGACCACAGCCTCCGTACATGAAGCGGCGCACTAACTACTACTCAGCCGGTTCCCCCTTCATAACAGATTTTGAATTTACCTGTCGAGCTGTTTGATTGATTACTCGGTTGTTTAAGGTGCAGGTTACAATATGTTGAAGAGGAAATGACTCGTGTAGTTTCACCACATCAGAGTGTTTTTATTTATCCACTTCTTTAGTTCAGTGTTCTAAATTCTGCTCAATAATATTTATTACTGTTTTATTTGATCATCTATTTTAATTTTGTGTGTGTTTTTTTACGGGTCCATCAATTTCTCAGAAAAGCTACAACTGAAGCGACAAGTTGACATCCGATCCAATCTTCAAATTTCAAACAGGGTTAAAAAAAAAAACAGGCTGAAACTCATTTTACGAGAAAATACTGATACTTTCTCATTATGAAGAGTTATGAAACTCTTTCCTTTCCCGTTTTATATTTTAGATCCGGTAGCAAACAGGACTCAGACTCATGGCCGAGGAGGAGGAGAGAGAAACAATGATGTTTTGGTTTTGTATTTTAGTAGGAAAAATTCCCCTCTTTCTGACTGTACTTTCATAAACAAGAGGACAAGAAGATGCCTACATCTCAGGCCCTGTTCTAGAAAAAAAAGACTTAGTGTGCAGCTGAGATTAAAGGGGCTGCAGCAGCTACAGTGACTGGCATCAGCAATGGAAAATAGTGTAGGTGTTATGCTTCCTGCATGTGTTCCCTGGTGAACAGACAGGTCACGTGCACTTGTCATGACCATCAGATCATGGATGACGTAAACATGATGGGAGTCACTGTTGTCACCTGAAAGCCTTGATTCCTCATGTAATAATAAAAAAATAAACTATTGTTATTTTTTTTCATCCGTTTGATTGAGGCTGCAGAAATGTCAGATGCGGGTGCAATGCATGCTTTTGCACCCTTATTGAACAGGGCCTGCTCCATCTTAAAAAACACCAGAAATGTGTTCCTCTTTGCAGCTTTAAATTGGTGTGAACAACTGTGCTAAGCTGATTTTCAATTTGCATTACTCTTAATCTACGATCCTAATAAATGCTTTCCCATGGTAATATTTTTTAACACCCAGGAGCAAAATGACTGACTAGCTGATAAAATACCCGCTGTTCACATCACTGTTTGGCCTCCCTCTGGGAGTTTTCTTTCCCCAGAGGCTGTATGTGTTTGTGTGGGACTGTTAGAACGGTGTGAGGCGTTATGGGTGGACCTGTAAAGACGAATTTCTGAAGGTGGTGTTAGACCCTGTCATCGCCTCTTTTTTTTGTTCTGACAGACAGGCAGGTCCTCTCCACCCTCAGAGCTTTAACAGCAGACTAATTGCCCTGTCACCTTTTAGGAATCATTTCTTTGTCTGAGCTATTGTGTCAAAACAATGACACTTGATCCCTAATATTATCGCAAAGAGAGCGGGAGAGGGTGACAGACAGACACGCAGAGAGAGAGAGAGAGAGAGAGATATGAAATGTCCTCATGCGTTCTGTTCTAGTAAACACAGAAAGAGATCTATGGTGAAAGGTGGACTCTCCTGTATGTATTTCAAGCCAAATTTAATTCTCCACCATAATCATGTTAACTTAATGAGCACTGTAATGGTGCGGCTGTTAAACAACACACCTCCACGGCGAGGAGAGCTCGAGTGTCAGAGCTTCTCGACACGTCTCTGACAGGTACACAAGGCCTCATGTCTACACAGCCTCCCAGCACAGGACTGGTACAATCGCTGCCATCCATCAAAGTGACTCCACATCCAAAGACGATGTGTTGGGCCTTCATAGACCTTTTGCAATCTGTGTGGTTATAAAAAAAAACATCTGTTGGTGTCAGTCATGTCCAAACCACATGCTTGTTCTGTTGAGGTGGTAAAATAACGAATGGTTTCCTCACCGTTTGTATGGAGAGACTTCTAAAAAACAAGTTAGTGAGTCGCTCACATTTTTTATGGCTTTCTGGAGGTGCTTGACTCTGCAGTTGTCTTTCAAACGCAGAGTCAAGGATGCTGCATCCTCGTTACACCTTTGCATCAACATATTTTTGATTTAAAGGTTTGCCTTTGACTTAGTGTTGTTTTTTTGGTTGTTTTTTTTACTTGTTCACACACCTGCAACTTGCAAGCTGATATGCGAAAGCTTTTATCCTCTGTTTGACCACCGTGCATCTTGTCAAGTTTCAGAGCTCTTCCCTTTCTCACTTTTTTTCAAAGACTGCCTGGTGGATCCTCAAGGAGCTTTTTTCTCTTTGCTCAGGTTTGGGTGTGAGGCCCATTCGTTTCAACGAGCTCAAAGAATCTGTGCGTTTTTTTTCACAGATTTGAGAAGAGGAAAATCTCTCGTTCTTTTTGCTGTTGTAAATCAGATTGATTAGGGATAGATGTATCCATTCTGGATTACTAATGGAGCTGAAGGGATGTCAAGAGCAGCGATGAAGAGCTTCTTCCTCAGTGAGAAACAGTGTCAGTGCAGCGGTTTCACCAACGTCTGGACAGATGCTTGAGGTGTTGTAACCACATCTTTGTGTCTGCAGTATGAGCACAACAAGATGTTGTTTGTTTTTAACAGTAGACGAGGAGAAACAAGGGGTTCTGGTTTGGCAGATGACAAACGGTGGTGCATCTTCTTCCTGTGCTTGGGAGCCAGCATATGTTACCATGTTAATGAGGTGTAATGGTGGGAATCCAGCATGCTGACATATGGTTCTCAGATGACTCCTTTAATGATATTCATTTGTGTCGTCGTTATTCACCGAGTTGTTTACCTCGTGTTAGGTCAACATGTCACTGGCTCGTGATTATGTCACATCATCTGTCTCAATTATCCGCTATAAAACAAAACGCGGCATCTCACAGTAGGACCGAAGAGTCCAATCAGAGAAGCCGGGTGACAGGAATAAGGGGAACTAGCCGGGGCGAAGACGTGACGTCAGGATTCTGCTTCTTTATTCATGTTATTCTCTTTCCTCCACTGGACTTTTGCCGTTAAAAAGTTAGGCAACACAAAAATAGACTCGTGGATTGTGATGCCCATTATGACAATATAATGTGTTGTTGATCCTGTCTGCACATATAGGGGGGACAGCGCACTTAATTAGGGCCTTGACAAGCCTACTCTCCTAAAGTGATGAGATTAATCATAATTGGTGTCACTGTGAATTAGAGCCCGCTCGGATGACCGCCCCACTGGCAGGTCGGACCGCGGTGGAGACCCTTGGACACTGCTGCTAGCCGCAGCTTAGCCCTCTCCAGCTCCCTCTTTTCCTCCCTCTCTCTCTCTCTCTCTCTCTCTCTGCCCTGCTATCTCAGGCCCCTCTCTTGCTCTGCCCTCCCTGGGTAAGAGGGGCGCAGATCTCAGCCAACAGCCTAATGACCCCGTTTGAAGTTCCTCTAAATCCCCCCCGACCCTGCCCGTTACCCATGACCCCTCTCCTAAGACGGTTCGGGGTTAAAGAGGGACAGGCAGGTTGACGTTAAGATAGACTGAGGAGGGAGGACTGGCTTAAGCCACTCATTGAGGGCAGGGGGTGGGGTTAAGGTAGATTGGGACAACATAATAGGTCAAATATCTTTTACATGCTAAAGTTAGGTCGTGCTTCTTGATTTCCTTTCTCTTAAATTGTTTGTTGTGGGATAAAACTGCTGCATTGTAATCATTTTCTGCCCTCTCTTCATGTGTGTGTGTGCTGATATTTTCAGGTTCCAAAAGGCCACGTATGGCTAGAAGGGGATAACCTTAGGAATTCCACTGACTCAAGGAGCTATGGCCCAATTCCTTATGCCCTCATCCGAGGGCGGGTTTGCTTAAAGGTAAAAGAGGAGACACACTGTTTTCTTTTAAGTATTGAAAAAGTGTTCATTTGCATAATCAAGAAGCTATTTTTGATTAAATCCCTCATCTGTGGACTGTAGTAGTGTTAGCTGTGCAGCTTCAGCACCATCAGTCTACGATGATTTTTTTTTTTTTTCATTTGGTTTTTGATTAGTCCCTCATGGCCATTTGAAGCACAATTCAGAGACGTGAGTCAGTTGGAAGTTCAAAGCAAGTGTGTCTGATTGACCAAAGCCTGGACAACATATTGTGTAGCTTTCCATTCTGCCGTGTTGTCACGTCACTGGATGTCATAGCAACCATGACCCTGGAAAACAGGTCAGGCAACCTTCTGTCCATCTGATTGGACAGCGGCACTCCACTGGAGGCCCTAGAACCACAGCTGATGAAATAACAAGATCATCAGACACATGCTTAAAAGACACATTAGCAAATGTGTCCAAGAAGTGTGATAGAGTGTCCTGCACTATAGTTTCAGGTCGTTAGTTTTTATTATTAATTGAGTCTTATCTCTGTTTTAACACATTGTTTGTCTCTCTGTCCTTTGTCTCCTACACAGCTCTGGCCGCCACATAGTTTTGGGACCCTCAGTGAAAGCCCAAGCAGACAGATCATTAAACCTCAGAGAAACTCGGACTCAGATTGATTCATTTAGTTTGTTTATTCAATGTGACACTTTTTTGAATAAATCTGATTTTTATTTATCCCTTTAAGTGTTTTTGATTCAATCATGTTATTTTACCAGGCTAGGACCACGTTATTATTTGAGGTATTTTTTGTAGAAAAACCACCAAATAATTCCTCTTTAATAAGTCAAATGTTTTCCTCTCTTCTGACTGACGAGGCTTTGTCATGTGGCTGTGTGTTGTGTTGGCTGTAGCTGTGCTGTAGCAGCAGCATTGCGTGAGCAGCAAAGAAAAGCTGCGTCTCTGTGGAGCTGCTAATGGGAGAGAGCGGGCAGAGGCATAGAGTAGAGGCTCAAGGTTTATGTCTGGGATCTTGCTCATTTACTGATAAAAACACACTAAAGACAAAATCATACCCAACATTACATGTGTTTAAATGAACATATTTTGTTGGTTCTCTTACTGCTCTTTAAAACTGGAAAGCCTGTCTAAATATACAAACTGGCCTCAGAAAAGACATTCCCTTAAAAATGATGTTATTAGTTCCATGTTTACCCTTCTTAGTATTATGGTAAAACAAAAGCTCTCTTATTGTTGAATATTTCATTAGGCTGCCAAGCCAATTGAAAAAATGTTAACATTTCCCATTTAACCATACAATATTAATAAGCACTTAGTAAGGGCCTGCCTCACCACTGAACACATTGTGTGTGTGTGTGTGTGTGTGTGTGTGTGTGTGTGTGTGTGTGTGTGTGTGTGTGTGTGTGTCTCACACTCAGTTTGTTACATGCACATAGGACACAGTTTTATGGTTTTAAATATCATGCTACAGTATCCAAAAAATATTATAAGCACACTTACTCTAAATATCTGCTTCAGAAAAAAAAAATTATGGTTATACCTTAAACTTTTTTTGACATTTTTTTTTTTTTTGACAAGTCGATGACCGCAAAAAAGACACAAACTCAAATTTGAGAAAAAAGGTACCAAGAAAGAACCCAAAAGAAACATTTGACCCACACACTAAATAAAACAAGCTCAATCTTAGTTTTCAAATGTCTTCAGCTTAAAAGGGATGCTAACTTCAAATTAAATATACTCACTCATCATGATTCTTCCAACCAGGTTTTTTTTTGTTCTGCAGGGTTTTCTCTTTTTTTTTGCAACAAAAAGAAGTCACATGAAATTAGCCACACATTTTTGATTTGCATCCAAAACCATGAAATCTAAAATCATAATAAAACTGAAGCTAAGTAACTCTTCAAATGAGTACATCTTCAACCTCAGGCGAAATGTAAACACAAGCGCACAGAGGGAAATCTTCGTGTCACTTCAGAAGGTAAAGCAAATTGAGTGACACTCTGACAGCTTCACCTTCACAGAATTTATACAAGGAGGAAAAAACCAAGCAACCCTGATGCTATGTTTTTCATCAGCCTGCTGACTCCCACAATAAGCCTTGCATTGCTGTTTGCACATTTCTAAGGCGTTTTCCCTCTTGCTCAGACCTTCCTGGACTCAGAGACATAACAGCACATTCACAGACTGAGCCGAGGAAGCTCAGCTGGTCATTCTCCGAGGCAGAGAGGGACTCTTCTCCTTGGAGCTCCCCAGGGGAAGTGAGTTCCAGGCAGCCGTGGGTCCCTGTCCAGCTGCTTCCCTGTCTGGAGGGGGCCAGAGGGTCAGAGACAAGGCTCCCTGTGACACTGAATTATCTGCCTGAGTGTGATTGTGCCTGCTGGGAGGGACGCTCAAGATTGTGTGTGTGTGTGTGTGAGCGTGTGTTTGTGTGCATATGAAAAATATTTATGCAGGCTTTTGCTTCCAGCACATCTTTGTTTCTCAAGGTTTAATATTCATCTGCTGCGTGTCAACACGGTGCCTGTGTTCAGCTGAAATGCTGACACAAGTAATCTTAGCATGTCTCTTTCAAAACACTGCCCCATAGAGGGAGCTCTGACTGTTTACTAATGATGCTCAAACCCTGGTGGGTGAAAGCAGTCCATGATTTACGTCATTTTAACAAGGTTAAAGCTGCAGCTTTTGGGTTCAAACTACCTAAGGTGCTGTACAATTATCAACATTTGACACAATTATACTGGGCAATACTCTCCTCATGTTGCCAAGTCATTTGAGCTCCATGCATGATATATAGTCTGTATGCTGCTTTTGCTGTCGTCCTTTGAGTTGTGTCAGGAGTTTTAAAGAGATGACGGGGCAGAGGTGTATACCATTGTCATGCTGAGTGGGCACAAAGCAGGGAGAGATGGAGATCAGAGGAAACGGACAACGGACAGCTGTGCTGAGCTCTGCAGCAGCACAGAGTCAGGCTGTGGGCTGTCAGCGCGCCTGAGGTGTGTCGGCTACCTCATACAGAAGAGTGGGGCGGAGCTGAAGTGCAGTATGTAGTTCAATATCTGATGTTATACGGGAATGATTACTCAGTTAAGTTCATGTATGTAATAACCAAAGCAGAGGAAACTCGCCTCTATGATTTTAGATTTTCCACCAACTTGTTGCAGCAGAAACAGCGATGTAGCTTTTTCTGTAGCTATTTCTACCTTTTTAAATCATAGACTTCATATAATCATGGACGTAGTCTCAGTGATGTCATTGGTTTCTGAAGTGACACTACACAGCCTTATTGGAAATTATGTTTTAAACTGAATTCCTGTCAATTTAGTACCTGGCAAAGAGTAGTAAACAGCTACCATGTGTCTGTCTGTCAGTCAGTTCAGACATGCCCCATATTATGAATATCTCTTAGCCTTAATATCATCATAATGGATACATTTAAAAAAAAAAAAAAAAAAAAAAGACATCCTCATTACAGTGTGTGTAGCTATAGAAATGAGCTTTTCAGACCAAATTCATGTTCTGAACCAGGCTGTAAACATGTTTACGTCTGCTGTAAAAGTGGTCATTTTTGAATGGGTGTGTGTGTGACTTCTAGGCCTTTTGCAGTCAGCCTCAAGTGGGCACTCGAGGTACTGCAGACATTTTGCACAGGTCCACATTGGCTTCATTTTCAAACACCAAGAGGTTGCCACTTGATTTAAACCATGTTCCTAGATTACCCACAATGCAACCCAGCTACAAACAATCAGAATGAAAGATTGGAGGTGTTCTCGTGGCTAATGATTTTTTTTTTTTTTAACTTGTGCCCTCACGTTCAACTCAACAATGAGTTAAGTGATGTCATTTGCTGCAGTTTATCAGATTTCAGTCCCGCTCGCCCTAAAGGCACATAGGCCTACAACTTTTTGGAGATTCTTTTTGACACATAGAATACTCAACTAAACCTTAAGGTTGTGATTTCCTTGAAGTTTTTGTTTATGCAGTGGACTCCCATCAGATTTAAAGAACTTACTCACGTATGACTGGTTTTCATAGCCAGAGTGAGCATGTTGAGCAAATATATATTTTTTAAAATATATTTTGAAATTTTTTCTTACTCATTTAATATTTATAAAAGATATTAGAAGTTTGTCACTAAGGTTTTAACTACAACACTCGGTCCACACAGTCCTCTCTTCTTTATTAAAACATAATTCATCATCATATTGCTTTTAAAGGATGATAATGATGCTTTTTTAAAAATCATTAACTCCTCACAGGAACCTCTTACTTGCTGTTGTATTGCCCAAAGCTATTGCACAAAACAGAATAAAGGAGTTAAGCAAGAGGAAGATGAGAAATGACTGCAGGGGGCAGAAGAGATGAGAGAGATCTGGAGTGGAGGATGGTTGAATTTGGGGCAGAGACGGGAAGACAGGCGGTATCTGTATGCTCGGTCCTTTGGTTCATTTCAGGTTAATTGAGTCCTTTAAAAGTGCAGAGACACGTGAAAGAGGAGAGCGGGAGGTACGGGTAGAGAGAGTAAGAGAACCGCCAGCCACTGGTAATGGCCTGGTTTGTTTGTTTTCATATCCATGGTGGAGAACGTGACCCAAAAGTAACGCTGTGGCATTACTCTGACAGTCTCTCTCAGGGCTGTCTGTGAACAAAAATACCTCCATCACACACACAAACATACACCAGCAGCAAGAGGTTTACGTAGCCTACATCAAACACAACTTTTGTTGGATAAGTTGTAGCTGTTTTTCAATCACGCTGCTGCTTAATTTCAATCAGTTCCCCTCCTCCTCCTCCTCCTCTCTTTGCATATTTCTCCTCTGTTGATGCATCCTGTTTTCTTCCCTGCTCTCCCATCCACTTGTGTTGCTGTTAGCTGATCAGGGAATTGCTCCTTTCATTGGCGGATCCTTTCATTCTCTCCTTTTAATCAAGCCTGTTAGTACTTCTTAATTAAAGACATCACAGACACGTTTGATCACCCTCGCTCTTCTCCAGTGTGTGGGAGAAAAAAGAAGGAGAAAGGAGAGGAGGGAAAAGATTGGGAGATACTCTACCCCGACTTGAATCTGTGCGTGTGAAGATGACTGAACAGCTTCAATTGGGCGCACACACACCTCCTCCAAACTCTGCCAGCTCTTGAGGCTTGTGGTGTGTACGTCTCCCAAAGCCAACAGGCGTCAACCTCCAGAGATCCATACTAGACAGATGGTATTGGAGGCTATTGAGCTCCCTACTGTCAGTTTGTTGTGATGATCACACTCACCAGGCTGTCAATAATCACAGTCCACTAATCAAAGAGTGAAAAAAAAAACACACACACCGCACAAAGACAATGTAGAAGGCAAACTTAACTTTAACTTGATTAAATTAGCAAAGAGATGGTGAACTTTTAACACCAGAAGTATAGTTGCTTGCTGCCTTTGGCCTTGGTGTTATTCCTCCCTAAAGGCAGTCAACACTATTAGTGCGTCGTCCCTCTAATGGTGCGGGTGTGGGTGGGATTATGTGCATGGGGGGCCTCTGCTGTATGTACAGTACACTCAGAGGGTCCTAATGGAAAGCTATGGGACCTCTATCCTCAGGCAAGGAGTGATGCATAGAGGGGAGGATGGAGGGGGGGGGGTTGACGGAAGCCTGAGTCTGACAGGCCTGACCTATATCTCCCCTTTGCTTAATAGAGAGAGGGAGGAAGAGTAATTGGCAGATACCGATTTGTAGAT